CCCCGGATAAGCTGGAGGAGGTGGCTGGGGAGAGGGAGGTCTGGGCCTCTTTGCTTAGGCTGCTGCCCCCGCGACCCGGCCTCGGATAAAGCGGATGAAGATGGATGGATGGTGTCACATGGCCCTCTTCCTATTGAAAAAACAAAAGTTGTATCCAAGAAGGAGTCTCTTGATTGTCAACCTTCTGATCCTCCTGCAGAGTTTCTGACTTGGTTAGATGTTGTGAAATTGTTTTTCTAACTGTGGTAATAAATCAGTCATCATGACCTTTAGCTGTCTTCTGTGGTCATTCAGGTGTTTTGTGTGAGTTGCTTAGCTGCTCAGTGCATTCCTTCCTTTAATAATAAATGAGATAGTAGGTTTGAGGTTCTTGCTCTCTCTGACTGGTTTATTTGGGGTTTTTCTATTATGATTTTCATGCAGTTTTCCTATAATTCACAGTGTGTACATCAGCTAAATTTGTTTCTTCACTGAACACTCAGTCAGGTTGTTGGTCTAGCTAGCTGATGATGTTGCTTTCTGAATTCTAGTCTCCAACAAGCTTCATGCCTGCAGTTCAAACCGAGTCTGCGCGAATCTGTTACAGGTAATGAAAAGAAATCCACACCTCCCCTGTTTACAGCCTCTCTGGTAACGTTTTCTTTTCATTAGACTAACAACCACATGACTAGTATCACAATAAAGTAAACTCTGTTTGTAGCAGTTGTTGTATGTTTAATATTAAGCCAACCAGTTATAGAATGTACGCATGTGATATGACGCGAGGTAACAGCTCTAATTTACAGATCCATTTTCAGATATTTGGGTTTAACAGGTTTGCAGTGGTCATTCAGATCCTCTGTGTCACATAGTTTCAGGTGTCCTAGTCCAGGTGTGTTCCTGTGTACTCTGACTGGAGTCATGTTTAATATAAGTCAGGAAGCAGAGCTGCTGTACAGGATTGTCCAATGGGATGAGGACCTCCTCCAGCCAGCCAATAAAAAGGCTGCAAGCCCGCTTTTCAATATTGAGAGTTCAAAGGATGCAGTCCGTCAGCTTCACCTCCCACACTGTGAACCACAGAAAGGTGAGCAAAGCACTGCTCATGACATGACACAACTGTTAATCCATAGTTCTGATGGCGTCCCCTACTGGCTATAGAATTTGGTATTTTTCTGCTGACTGACCATTGCTGATGTTTGCCTGACAAACATTTTAATCCAGACATCCTGCAGATCTCACTAATATTTTTATTTCACATCCACTCAGCCACCACTGTTAAGCAGAATGTAGAGAAGCAGGACCTCTACTAAGAGTAGACATAAGTTATCCTCCAACTTTCCCATTGTGGACGGCTAAAATGTCTGCCTAATTATGAACCACACTGTACAATTACAGTAACAATCAGGTGGTAGCACAGACCTTAGGATGGGAGGGATGTAAGGAGAAACATCTGTGCCATTGCAAGAAACAAACTTAATTTTTCAGAATAACTGAAGAAGATTTATTCATTTTTAATAAGAAGTTTCAGCTGCTCACTTACAAACCTGATTGGGAACCTTTGAGTGGTCTTTTTAAGACCTCTGTAGTAAACAATGTGCAGAAGCCAAGGAAACCCAACGACTGATTTCTAAGCAGTGTTTGATTCTTTATCTGACCCTGGACACCATATCAAGGCTTTATATCTAAAATCAGATTCACTGTCACTGTAAGGAGGTTTTGGGAGTCAAACAGATGTCTGATGGCTTTGTGTTTTCACAGCTCTGCTTTCCGACTGTCTGTCTGTAGTCCACATCTCTGCTGGTAAAATGAAGGTCCTCAAGCCTCGAAAGATCACAGACACTCACGTGATCGTGGAAGTTACTCACCTCTCTTCCTTTGGCCTCGTGTGGAACATAAAGAGGTTTTGGAACAAGGAGAAACCAGTTTCGGGTCAAGTTTTGCTGTTCCTTGAACCAATAAACTTTAGAACACAGAGACAAAACCTCAATGTGCTTCTCCTGACAAGCAACATCCCAGTGGAAGAGGTAAAGATCTATGAAAAGCTTCTCACTCAGTCCTAACGTTTGACAGAGCTGCTGAGATATGTAGTAAACGGTTTTGTACTGATGATGAATAGGTAACACTGATCTATTTTGGATAAGCCCTCTAATTAAAATGGTCTTTTAAAGGTCAGGGTGAAATACAGAGATGCTAACTTCATCCAAGCACCTTCCAAATGTAAACTCATCAAAGACCACAGATACACTGTTCTCTGTCCAGTTGCCTATAAAGTCCAGCCTCCAGTAAGTACTTCCGTTAATTAAACTACTCCTTGTGGTTATGAAACTCATGCTGTGGTCCTGCTTTGTAGGAAGAAGATTTTGACCTGGATTTTGGAACAAACTACCCTCCAACATTTCAGATCCGCCTTCCTGCAGACACTGAAGAAGTCACAATAACAATCCAAGGCCAAACAAACACAGATGTCTGGAAATGCACTATTGATCTACCAGGTAAAACCTATATCTACATCACTCCGCCTGACATTCAATTAGAAACTATGAGTGATATATGAGTGTCCTTTTTAGTATGCCTTATTTCCTTCATTCATGATTTACTCTTCATTTAAAACATGCTGTGCTGTTCTTTTATCAACTGTCATTCTGGCATCATTCGCACTGTCCAGGCCCAAAGGCTCCTTTAGATTCTAAATGCCAAGAGTAAGGCACAGATGAGGGTCCAGAACAGTCCAAATTCCAGAAATTGATCAGTGTGGAGTCAGGAGAATGCTAGCTGCAGATGACAGGCAAAGTTCTGACTGCGATGTTTTTGCAAAAATACAATGAAGAGCACTGCTTTAACTGTAGACCAAATTAAATATCAGTTAGGTTTTGGAGGGAGGGTGAAGTTTGCAAATGTAACTCTGAGATTATTGTCTAAAATTGTACACTCAAGCTAGTAAAACAGAACAGGACTGGCAGCAGGTTTAAAGTGAAAAGCTAAACTTGTCATGCACTGGTGGGAATCCTGGACACAAGCGCAGTAAAGTACAGCCTCCATTCTAAATAGGACACCGATAATGAGGCCATCAGCAATCAGGTGAGTAATCAGCAATATCTCACAGGTGTGCAGCAAAAGAGTAGGAAGTTGGGTGAGCTCTGCCCCTGAAACAAACAGACCAGACACACACACACACACACACACACACACAGATAGAGGAAAGAGAAATAGGTGAGGCAAAGTACATAAACAGTGTCAGTCAGTGAGATGTCCACCCGAGTGCCTGATCAACAGCTGACTGTCAGAAGGCACCGAAAACAAGAAAACCTAAAGCGCAGAAAACATCTACAGTTAGTTATCGATGTGTTCCTGTTCACCTGAATCATTTTACTACCAAAAATGAACGCTGTCAGGGCAAACTCCATTATATTGTCCTCTGGAGGTTTTTAGAAGACTAGTCTAATAGTGTGCTGCACATACACAAAAAAAAACCCAAACATCAAACGTGTTTTTAATACACGAGACAAGCCGCACAACAGGGTCAGTATGTCACCACTTAACAGCACCAGATGTTTAGCAGGTGTGTATCTGCAGGTTACTCTGTGCACAAAGCAGTATCACATACTCACAAGCTCTGTCACACCTTCACTTCAAGTTACTGAACATCGTTTTCCTGCTTCCTGCCCCCAGAAAGAACACGCAGTCAGTCAACACCCCAGATCCTCCCACCAGACAAGCATCTGTTTGCAGTTCGGAAGCAGTTTGTGGATCAAGTGTCAGATTCGACTGTGAACCAGCTGCTGGACAGCCTGCTCCAACAAGGAATTATAAATAAGGAAGAAATGGATTCAGCCAGAATCAAACCCAGAGCTGACCGAGCTCGAGATGTGATAGATGTGGTGCGAAACAAAGGAGAAGAAGCCAGCTCATCCCTGATTGATGGCCTCCGTGAGTTGGATCCATACCTTTCTGAAACCCTGCACCTGAGCTAAGATGAGCTGAAACAGTTCTTTAATGAAGTTATTGTAAAGCCGTACTGCTGTCTGAGTTTGGTAAATTTAAAATGAAGGCCTAATTTTCATTGTTTGTTTCTTGGTTTTGTATATTTTTGTCATTTGTTTTCCTTGTGAGCGTGCTCAGAGAGATAATAAATCAGAGCTCTAATTATTCAGTTGTCTGTCTCTGATATATTTTTATGGTTTCTTTTTGTTGTTTTTTCCTGAACCTGAAATAAAACCACTACCATCATCAGTGTGTGACCTCAAACCATCAGGCGCCTCAGAATGAGATGCCATTGAGGCTAACGGATGTGATTGGTCGGTGACCGTCACGTAGGTGTGGACTGTGAGAAGGTGTGTGTGTGAATGAAGACAGGTGAGCAGCAGCTGTGATAGTTTGGGCCACAGAGACTTTATTAGAGATTCCAGGTGTTAGGTGAGTCCAACAGGTGAGACAGGAAGTAGAAAACCCTTCACATGTTGGAAGACTGAGGTCTAACTGAACGGCTCTAAACGTCCCACAGCATCAGGACGGTTTCTGATTGGTTATAGTGAGGGGAAGGGGTGATAGGTGAGGATCAGGGGGTGGGGCTAGAGGTTACAGTGAAACAGGTCACTTCTGTTCAGGCATCATGTCATCGATGCTCTCTCCGGCCTCCAGCCGCTTCTCCATCTCCACCAGCAGGTTAACGCCATCCACCACCATTTGCACCAGCTCCACCTCTGAGAAACCCAGGCGGTCCGCGTTGGAGATGTCAAAGACTCCACCCACTGCTGCAGTGTCCACACCACCTTAGACACAGACAGGAAGTGATGAATGAGACAGAGAGGGACAGGTGTTCCTTCCCGTCTGCTGTGCGTGCTCCTACCTGTTCCTCGCTTCTGCAGCCGCAGCCTCTTCAAGATCTCGCCGAACTTCTCGTGCTTGCTCACGTTTGGCAGCTTGACGTGGACGCCAGCTCGCAGGCCGGTGCCCAGGTTGGACGGGCAGGTGAGGATGTAGCCCAGGTGCTCGTTCCACATGAATTCATGACCTCGCTCCTTAAACAGTTCCTCGATCTGCCAGAGAGAGAGGTGAGACAGGTTAGACAGCTTCAGGTGTGACACTATGGGGTGAGGGAAATAGGAAGTGGCGTGCTGACCTTGGTGAGGCCAGTGCAGAAGCGGGTGAACACCTCCCTCATGTTTCCTCCTTTCTGCATGCTGATGACACGCAGATGATCCTCCTCGTTCACCCAAACCAGGAATGTCTTATTGTCATTGTGCCTGCAGGTGAGTAAGGCGTTATTCTTCCATCCTTGAAAACTGCTTCTTTCACTCCAATTCTCAAAAAGTCTGGTGCAGATCCCAATAATTTTGATAATCTCTGCCCTGTATCAAACCTCACCTTTATTTTGAAAATCCTTGAGAAAGTTGTTGCCACCCAGCTTCACTCATACCTCAATGACCATAATCTCTATGAAAAATTTCAGTCTGGTTTCCACCCCAATCATGATACAGAAACTGCTTTGTTAAGGATTACTTATGACCTTCTGATGGCAGCTGACTCTGGTCTTTTAACCATCCTCATCCTTCTCGATCTTAGTGCAGCATTTGACACCATTTCTTATAATATCCTCCTGAGCATAATTAGCATCCATTGGCATTAGTCACACCCCACTTGCCTAGTGCATCATATCTCTCTCGCGAGGGAGGATTCAGGGTCACTTCATCCAGCCCTAACTATATGCTTTAGCAAAGAGGAAAGTTTTAAGCCTAATCTTAAAAGTAGAGATGGTGTCTGTCTCTTGAATCTAATCTGGAAGCTGGTTCCACAGAAGAGGGGCCTGAAAACTGGAGGCTATGCCTCCCGGTCTACTTTTAAATACTCTAGGAACAACAAATTAAGCCTGCAGTGTGAGAGCAAAGTGCTCTAATGGGGTGATATGGTACTATAAGGTCATTAAGATAAGACGGGGCCTGATTATTCAAGACCTTTTATGCGAGGAGCATGATTTTAAATCCAATTCTGGATTTAACAGGGAGCCAATGAGGGGAAGCCAATATGGGAGAAATATGCTCTCTAGTCCCTGTCAGTACTCTTGCTGCAGGATTTTTGATTAACTGAAGGCTTTTCAGGGAGTTTTTAGGACATCCTGATAACAATGAATTACAGTAGTCCAGCCTAGAAGTAATAAATGCATGAACTAGTTTTTCAGCGTCACTCTGAGACAGGATATTTCTAATTTTAGAGATATTTTGCAAATGGAAGAAAGCTGTCTTACATATTTGTTTAATATGTGCATTGAAGGACATGTCCTGGTCAAAGATTACTCCAATGACAAGGTAATGAATACAGAGTAAGAATCTGGTTAGATACCATATTTCTAAGATTTTTAGGGCCATATACAATAACTTCAGTTTTATCTGAATTTAGAAGTAGAAAATTAGAGGCCATCAAGGTCTATACAGCCCACATCACTTTTTGGACACCATTCAGACAGCCAGCAATTTAAAGAGAACATGCAGCTAAACACGTCACTCCTGGCCTGACTGGGGAGGGGACCAGATAAAACTACATTGTCTGACCTTTTTTTGGCTAAGTTACACACCAATTCAATATTGATTTTAGTGACTTTCGATTGACGTAACTCTATGTCATTACTGCCGACGTGAATTACAATTTTACTGAATTTACGTTTACCCTTAGCCAGCAGTTTTAAATTTCCCTCAATGTCGCCTGCTCTGGCCCCTGGAAAACAACTGACTTTGGTTGCCGGTGTCTCTAGCTTCACACGTCTCAGAACAGAATCGCCAGTTTCCAGGGTTTCATCCCTGACGGGTGTGTTGCCGAGTGAGGAGGAAGCAGTTAGACACATGAACAGGTTGGTGGTGTACCTGGGGCTTCTTCTTAAGACTATGCTTCCTCTTCACCATCACCAAGCCATCCTGTTTCCCTGGCTGCTTGAGGCAGTCTGCTAGGGGACAGCTAGCGGGGCCTATGCTAATTTTGGCTGCACCGGTTACAGTGGCCTGACTAGCTATGGGTTTTTCAAGGGTGCGAAACAGAGTCTCCAATTCAGTGATCCTGGCCTCCAGAGCTGCAAATAGGCTACATTTTTTACAAGTATCATTACTGCTAAAGGGGGCTGAGGAGTAACTAAACATCTGACACAATGAGCAGGAAATTGCAGGGAGGACAGGTGAAGATGCCATGCTGATTTGATCAACCGGTCCCTTACCAAATTTCCCAGAGGAACCCACCCGAGAGATTAATAAAGTTTTATCTTATCTCTTATCTTATCTTAATGAAACCGACAACTCCTGGGCTTGGGAGAGCCTGATTGTCCTGCAGAGACGTTTGCTGCCAGATACTCGATGGTCACATGTACACTGACACAGACCTACACTCACCCCCCACCCCCTCCAAACGCCATCGAAGCTTATGTCTTCTATGTTGTGAGATGTGATGATTCATGTGCTATGTGCTGAGGTGTTTTTTTCTGTTCTCAAAGTGATCTTACTGCTGGAGCTCAGTCTAGGGGGAGTTCTTCTGTTCTCCTCGTCTTTCCTTATGTTGTGCATTTTCCATTGCTATACCTCTCAGACCTGTCTTCCCCATGTGATGTTTCTGTAATGCATGTATGGTCAGAAGGGTAAGATGGCGGTGGCAAAGGTCAGCAGCCTTAACCCAATTTCCTTCAGGGCCAACCTTAAGGATCAATAAAGTTTTATTGAAATGAAATTTTTAGATAGGGTAAGACAGAAAATCTACACAAAAACACCACTGTGTGTTGGAACAGGAATAGGAGGTGCTACTCTACCACAGAACACCACTGTTTGGAAACAGGTTTGACATTTTCACATTCAGCTGCTCTAAAATACCAAATACTAAAAAACTTTGGAAGGATGCTTCTCTGGTTGTCTTTGACCCAGTCCCTCTTGGATCCATTCTGGGTCCTGCTCTTTTTCATTCTACTTGCTTCAGAAAGCATGGCTCCCCATCTCATCCCTTTTAATTCACTATGCAGATGACACCCACCTTTTCACTTTAACACTGTAGACCAATCGTTCAAACTCCCAGCAGTCTCTTTGATAGTTTCACGTTCCTTTAAGATCAGCCGGTTCATATAACCAGTTGCTCTAGGTTGAAGATTTGAAAGCTTTCAATGGGTTCCTGCTGCTTCAAATCTGCTTTTAAATCAGTGTTTAATACAAATGCTATGACCTGGCTTTAATACAGCTTAAATTGAGACTTGTTTATCACTTTTTCAATAAAATTAAAAAAAATAAAGACTTATGTATTTATTAGATATATTAAATTATCATGTTTTTAAGAGGCACTTGTTCAGCACTGGTTGATTTGAAAATAAGCTGCAGAAACCTGAAGTTTCCAGAGCAGGTCAGATGATGTTCAATACCCAATTTTTCTGTCTAAATTTAAAGGTGCACTGTGGAAAAAACAAACAAAACAAACAACAGTAAAAATCTTGTTTTGATTTTTGAGTCCTGCTGAACATGAAGCTGTCTACAGGGGTGGATGTGGTGGTCGGGTGGATGTTCAGTGAGCTTGACACTACGACCAAGGACTGCTGCGATTTTTTTATTCCATGAGCAAACTGATGTTTATTCCTCATCTTTGAACTGATTATTTCTGGTCACTTTTTTTTATTAATCTTTCCAACATTTACCTCTGTTCAATCAGACTCACCTTTTTTATTACACCTACATCTGTTTTTATGAATGTATGAATCTTCCATTCTGAGTCAGTATTTTTTGTTCTGAACTTTGACCTCGACTCGGTTATTTTTTTTATTCTGTCTCTCATTACAGTTATTTTTATACTGGTGTTTGTTCAGAAAAAGGACATATTTGAGACACTCTAGCTCAAAGTTTATTCTCTCTCAGCATTTCTTCATTCTGTTAGAATCAGGTTAATTTCAATCAATTTCTGGCTTTGGAGTCATATTTTTCCAAACCAATACTTCATTATACCCCCCCCCACCACCTCTGCACCTCCACCCCGACCTCACTTGTAGGGTTACATACTGACCAGATGCCACGGCCGTCGGGCCAATCGCGGGCCATGCCGGACGCCAGCAGCAGCGGGGACACAGGCTTATCAAACAGGAAGTGGTCATCAATGAGTTGCTGCTGCTCCTCCTCGGTCATATTCTTCAGAGCATAGTACTTCCCCTTCAGGTCTCCTTCCAAGGAGGCCAGAGCTGCAGCCACCACACAGTAGGTCAAAGGT